AACCCGATCAGCTTCTCACTTCCTTCAAATCCGCCTGTCCCGGTCCAGCTCCACCTCTAAATAAAACACACCACACATCCCCATTTCCCGTGTAAGAGTTCCCTGTCTCGCTCGCAAGCATCAAATCCCATCTAAACGAAGTGTGTGATCTCGTGTTATACCTAACCTAATGGTAAGCTTCTCCCCCGCTCTCCGCCCCGTATCATCAAAACCCGCATTCATTGACCGCGCATGCATCACCGCAGTGATACCTCTCCTGTTTATTGCTGTCTACATACATATCCCAATGGACGTGCTTTTACTGCTGTCTGTCTCTATACGTCAAATATTCCATTTCTCCCTGAAACACGTCGTTATTGCTCCCTTCTCTCCACCACTTCGCTGCTACTCAGAAACGTAACGTTATCATCCACCCTTATGCGTGCCTACCCTTACCCTTCTCACACGCACAGCTATCTCCCCCTGCCTCCTTGTTATAAGTTAACCTATATCGTGTACGTGCTTCTATCTGCCTTGCGTCCTCTACGCTATCATACTTCGGGTTAATGTCATGCCTGTTTATTACTCTATATGCACGTGCCAGTTACCTTGCGGCTTCGTACAAAGTGCTTACTCCCATGAAACTCGCGTGTAGGCTGTTATCCTTCTGCGGCCTTGCTCTCAGCTATTCTCATTCGTCGTTTCTCCGTGTTTACTGGCTGTCTAAGCCCCTTACTGCGCTTGTACTGTTCTCTCCCTCGAGGGCTGTCTCAGTATAGACTATCTCCCTGTAACCGTGTCGGATGTCTAGTATACCATGCGTGCTACCCGTCGTTCCTTCCTTTCTGCTGTCAACAGTACTAAACTTAATTGCTCTAGTAAAAACCGTGTTATCCCCTCCTCCTGTTCCCTGTCTACCCTATGTTCTTACCATATTGGCCGGTCATAAGTTTCTCTCATCTGCCATTGTCCTTAGTCATTAATGCGTGTACGCCTCTCCCTTCCTCGCTCTTCTCATCACATGACTAGTCTCTATACCAGTCCTCGCTCCGCTCTTCATACGTGCTCTAGCACTTTTTCTACGATCCGCGTATCTCTCCGCCATATTCACTCCCTATCTTGCTGTAGGTTGTACTGTTGTCTACTAGTATACTCAGCTGCCGTTGCGTGCTAACGGCTAAACTTCCCTTCGTGTTAGTAATACATGACAGTCTGTCACCCTGTTCACTCCTTCTTCTCCCCCGTGCATCCTCTTTACTTTATTATAGCGTGTGTGTTCTGGCTGTCATACATCAAGCTTCTCCCGTCCGTGTGTACCGTCGTTTACCCCTCCTTCTTCCGACTGTCCAGTATAGCATGCCCGTGTTATCTGTTACCTCCCCTCGCTTCTAACTTGCATTCTAGTGCGCATGTACATGTTTTATGCTGTCCTACCCTAGTATATAGCTAATACTTACTTCCGTTCGTCGTCTCACGTGTTTACTGCCTGTCCCTATATATCTCCCGTGTACTGTCGCTTATCTGATGTCCCTTAATATACTCTAATGGGTGTCACCGTGTTACTGGCCTGCACCTAGTATACATACTGCGTGTTTATCCCGCCTCGGATCTCTCACTATTCTCGGCTGTATCTAGTATACAGCTTCTCGACTGCCCGTTGCTCCGTGTTACTCCCCTCTCCTTTACTCCCACCTAGCTCCTATACCTTACTGTATCATACTGCCGCGTTCGTGACTGTCTTCCCTCTTCTGCGCCCACCTAGAGCTTAAGTCTATACCCCCTTATCTGTTCCTATCCTCGTTACCTGGCACCTGTCCTACAGCTTATAATGTCCTGCGTACGTGTCTCACCATCTCCTCCTTCTCCATCACCTTCTGCCTGTTAGCCTTATTCTCACTACCTCCGTGTTCCGTTACTCTCCTTCCTCGGCTATATATATGGTGTAGCTATGTACCTTAGCGTCTGCTATCTAGTCATACCCTCATACTTCGCCGTTCGTAACGTGTTACTGCGAGCCCACTGTCTAAAAGGTAAATAGTGTACATTTACTAGCGTTTCTCTGTCCCGTCTAAATACCACAATACCTCCTTCTACCCTACGCCAGCGTTGTATCGTGCTTTACCACCATTCGTTGTCTCAGTCTAATCACTCTATGCGTGTAAGTGTTACTGCTATGCCATCCTAGTTTACTCTACCTCGCCGTGTACCTGTTTTGACTTACCTTCCTTCCCATCACCTTCTCGCCTTCTCAAGCCCTCTGTCATACTCTCATTCTCAACTACGACCCGGAATGGTCGTTACCCTACCCGCTGCCTTCCCATGTACCATACTTCTTGTTCCACTCGTAAGCTTCTGCTCTGCCTCTTCGTACGTCTATTAACCGTTTACGTCGTTTTCAATACACCTTCTCACTGCGTTTCGCCCTAAAATAATCAATCCTAATTCCTTCGTGCTTACGTGCTAACCTAACCTCTTCCCTCCTTCTTCTCCACCAGACTGTTAGTATTGCGTGTACCGTGTCAGGCTCTCCTCCTCCCTTATCTTCTCCACTCAGCTTTCTCCGCGTCCTTCTGTCTAGTCACTCACCATTCTCCCTTCTCCTATGTCCTCTCCTCCTAATGCTTGCTCTCACACCCTCTTCTCCCTTCTAAGCCCCTTCCTTCCTTCTAATCCACAACTAGACTTCTTACCTCCTCTCTATCTTTCTCGCCAGTCTGGGCTAGCTTCAATCGGCCTTCATGCTACCTTCTCCACCACTTCTGTCCTTGCCCTTCCTTAGTACTTTCTACACTAGTCTGCTCGTTGTCTGCTCTGTCTTCTCCCCTCCTCCTTCTCCACCGCTTGAGTTACGTTATCATCTCCGCCTCCTCCTTTCCCTCGTGTCACTCTGCTATCTTCTCCCCCTTCTCCCGTCTCTTCTTTCCTCCTCGCACCCGCTTCTTCGTCTTTCTCCACCTACTAATACTACTCTAAACGTTCCAGCTTACCTCAACCTTCTCGCCACTTGTACGCCCTCCTCTACGATCATGTCTCCCTGTCGCTACCTAGCTGTACCAGAACTTGTGTGCAGTGAGACAGAAACTTTAGTCAAAGTTAGATGTGCACAAGCTATCGTATAAGCCACTAAAGGTACGAATGAGCTGTTCATAATTGGTCGGGTCGGGGCGGGTGCGGGGCTATCCATATATTTCGCACAGTCGTCAGATATGTTCGTGTACAATGTGTCTATAGTTCTATGCGTGGTACATGTTATGCTGTTCCACCTTCTGTATTTACTATTGTGTAGGGTTAATGGCAGGTCTTCGTTTTCCTATAATGCTCCTAGGTAAGTTACTACCCATAAACTCTAACCCTATTAACCTAAACGCTCAACAAGAAACGCCTTAACTACTTAGCCCTAGTACCTGAATCCCTAACCCCTCCTCAACCCATCCTAACTCTAACCCTAACACGCTTGTTTACTTGATGATAACGCTAGCAATAAGTAAAAACTGGTGCACAGGTAACATGTTATAGTAGAAATCGAAGACCGTGCCCGGTATCGAGCCGTCGATGAGTATACGTACCGGCTGCCGGGCCATATATCCCTGTGTATAAAGTAATGATATAAATGGATATGTTAATAATTAATATAATGATATCATTAGTTTCCCATAAACCTTTACGTATATATTTTGCATGCGTTACTTGTTTGTTAGCGTTACTGTTACCGTACTGTTGCTCATACTCATAGTCATAGTCATACTGACTCATACATGTAACATAAGGTCTTTAATACCGTCTATATCCCCCAGGGTACTACCGGAACGTACACTGGTAACTATCTGATGTGGTTAGGGTTAGGGTCAGGGTTAGGGAGTAGGCGTAGGCGACTCCCTAGACTCGTTAGTGGAGTAGGCGAGGTACGGTCCGGCATATTAGACACCGGTAGTACAAGCTGAGCATATAAATCACGTTGATTTATCGACGTGGATATTCGTCTGAGCATCGGACACCTGTTCGTATGCGCTATTCGTCTGAGCAGTTGTTGCGCATGCGCTGTTCATGTTGCATGTCACAGGCGCACGGCGCGAGTGCCGTAGGCATAGGTAGGAAGTGTGAAGGGGGGGGGGGTCTTTTTTAATCTAGACACTCTAAAATGCTATTTACCCTTTAGATTTTTGATTATTTTATGCCCTTTAGGCTGGGGGCCAGTAGCGTTTTGCTACGGCAGCCCTACGGCTGTCACGCCCCTGGATACATGCGTTGCGTATGTGGTTATACACCATAGATAGTGTTTGGTACTATCACTTGCATATATATACGAAACCGAGCGTATCATAACAGAACCGAGTCGGTTTATAGTTAGTGTTAGGGTTAGGGCTGGGGTTAGGATTAGGGTTAGAGAGTAGGCATGTTTAGGGAGTAGGCGCCACCCTAGACTAGCATTATATTACATTTATGTAATACAACATGAACAGCGTATGCGCAACAACTGCTCAGACGAATAGCGCATACGAACAGGTGTCCGATGCTCGGACGAATATCCACGTCCTTGATTTATATGCTCTGGTACCAGGGTACGTTCCGGTATACCGGACTGTACCCAGGGTACGTTCCGGCAGTACTCTGGGGGACATAGACCCGCTCAGTGTTACTGTTAGCTTCAAGTGTTTCCTCATGTCATAGTAAAAAATATTTTTGTTTTTGTTTTGTTTTAACAACGGAGTGTCTGTGGCTAGATTACTGGGAGGTACTCAGACAGGAATCTGGAGAGGGCCTGTTTGATGATGGCATCCATCTCTGGTGTTAGATTCTTGTTTTCCCCAGTAAGGGTGGCAATGTCAATTGTCCGATGGCTTGTGTTGGTCTTGGTCTTCACATAGCTCTGGTACTATAGCCCGCGTACAGTTGTTGCTGGCAGCGCCTGCTGCAGCTGCCAGCGGCAACTGTACACGGGCTATAGTACTAGAGCTAGTCTTCACATACCCCAGATCGATCGTGTCGGTCATCTTCTCCCTGCTAACCCTGAGTCGTGAGCAATGGAAGATCTTGTGGACCACGGTCTCATTGGCAAGTCCACAGTCGCAGAGGGGACTATCGCTTGCCTTATCTTGAACAATGTGGTCTTTCTTGTTACATGTGTACATCTAGATAAAAGAATATACCGGTACTAAGGTTATTATGTTTTTATTGGTAAATTATGACTTATTCAATGTTGAATAGTACTATGCGAATAGAATGAAAATAGTCGCGAGTTACTTACCTAGTAGTAGTATTACCTTGTATAATATATTGTGCATTATTGAATTCTCATATCGCGGTCAGTAGACTTTGATTCTTGTCCTAATATTATTTTTACAGAATCATGGCAAGAGAATCCAGACTTCACTAGTAATCTGCAAGAACTCAGTTCTTATGGACGGTGAGAAATTAGGTATGTTCGTAAGACGTCTGTTACGTGTCAACAGGCACTTGGAGCAGTTTATAAAATATAGAATGCTAAATAAATACAAAATCTTTTTTACTACAAAGTCTTAATTTCTCTACTATCTTTCACCTATTATTGCCGACAATTTCTGGTAAATGCCATCCCAAATGACATCCGCAACGCTACGCTGGCCTTGCCGCACGCACAGCTGCTGCACAACACAAACACATAAATATATAGCAGGTAGGAAAGCGTGCTGCCAACATTTGCTTGACGCTCGCTTGATTTCACATGAAAATACAAACACAAATATTTCAACCATTCTACTCCAACCTTGGTTTCTATTTTGAAGGACAGTGTTTCAGGTGTTATAAGAAACATACTGTCTGTGTTGTAAACGCGGAGCTGGGTCACGAGCGTCGAAATCACACAAAGCCTGGCGAAATTCTCATGCGTTCGCTCTCGATGCCCAGTTAATGTAAATGCTTGCCAAGTACAGGGATACAAAAATAGGCGGCACACTGCATTTTTGGGAAATACTAACCACGCTGCTTTTCCACTCTCGTACGAGTCCTCGTCAAAAGCCGGCCCCAGTGGAGCGTTGCCAATAATGCGGCCACAAAAATGAGGTATGCAGCGAAGAGCGCCGGTGGGTGTTTCTTGATTCGCACAGCCACGTTTAACATAAACTGTGAACGGGAGCGAACCTGAGAATTTCGTCGAGGCTTTGTTGATTTCGCGTGCACAGCTCGGTACGAACACAGACAGTATGTTTTATCAGCAATGTGAACCCTGTCGCTTTCAAACAGAAACAAAGATGGAGTAGAATGGTTGAATATTTGTGTGTGTATTCGTGTGAAATCAAGCAAGCGTCGAGCGAATTTTGGCAGCACGCTTTCCTAACTGCGATTATATTTATGTGTCAGTGTGCAGCAGTGGCCCTAGCGATCTCATCGGCACGGGTTCAGCCAGCGCTGGGTGTTGCAGCATGATGGTCATTTGGACGGCATTTACAGGAAATTGTTACAATAATAGGTGAAAGAGAGTAGAGAATACATTAAGATTTGGTAGTAAAAATAGAAATTTTCTGATTTATTTAGGGCATTATATTTATTGAAATGGCTCCAAGTGGCTGTGTTACGTGTGTAGTAATAAATAAACGCTGTTTGAAGATTGTAGGATGCAGTTATTTCCGATCATAGTAACTATGACTGTATAATATGTTCTTACGAGCTGTAAGCAACAGGCGTGACGAAGACTTTACATGCTCATGATTATTCTATACCAGTCGCGGGAAACTGAGCCGGCTTTCAGAGGAGAGAGCCGCGATATTGGAACAAACACAAGACCTCACTTTCCACAACTACAAGACGTTCATACACACGGCCGAATGCTCCAAGGACATCTACAAAGATGTGCGTACGACTATTTTCTCGGTCTGTGTACACGTCTTCGGCCATGGCATCAACAACGTGATTAAAATCAGGGTTGTCACATTTCAACCGAACTGGTGAAATCTTCAGAGTCAGTTGATCTTTTTTTTTAAATTAAACTTGTTTGTGATTCAAAAATTGTTTTTAAAAACATTTTTCACGAGTTTTAATTGGTTAACAGTTCACCCTCGTGGAGCAACATTTAGAATCTGTTATGAAGAAGTTGCCAAGTTTTAAGGAAAGTTGCAGTACCTTCATGAAGACAGCTCAGGAGATTAACCAAAGGTAAACAACCATAGAACTAGATGATTTAATTGAGTATAGTTAAAGCATGTCCGAATTTAATGAAATGTTATTTAGTTAATACTCCTTAAAGTAACATTTATGCGTTGTTCTTTAGACAATGGGAAGTGTTGAGGATTTTGACGTGTGTAATATTTCCTAACATAATTGTTGTGCATAGTACATCTTTCTCTCACACCTCTCTCTCTCCTCTCTCTCTCTCTCTCTCTCTCTCTCTCTGCTCTCTCTCTCGTTCCTCCTCTCTCTCTCTCTCTCTCATCTCTCTCTCTCTCTCTCTCTCTTTCTCTCTATCTGCTCATCTCTGTCAATCCTCTTTCTCTCATCTCTCTCTCTTCTCTCTCTCTCTCTCTCTCTCTCTCTCCTCTCTCTCTCTTCGCTCTCGTCCTCCTCTCTTCTCTCTCTCTCTCTCTCTCTCTCGTCTCTCTCTCTCTCTCCTCTCTCTCTTCTTCTCTCTCCTCTCTGCTTCTCTCTCTCTCTCTCTCTCTCTCCTCTCGTCTTCTCTCTCTTCTCTCTCTCGCTTCTCTCTCTTCTCCTCTTCTCTCTCTCTCCACTCTCTCTCCTCTTACTCTCTCTCTCTCTCTCTCTCGTTGCTTATGTCCTCTTTCTCTAATCTCCCATCCTCCGCCCGGCTCCTCCTCTCTCTATCTCCTACTTCATCTCATCCCATCGCCCCTCTCATCGTCTTCCCCTCTCTCGTCTCATCATCCTCTCTCTGTCTCTCTTCCTATCTCGCTCAGGATGCTCTATCTGCTCTCTCTCTACAACCATCTTTTGCAGCCGCGCATGAACTTCGCATGACGTGAGATCGGCACGCAGTCAGCTGCTGAGATACTAGAGATGCCTCAGCACTGATGACACGTGTGTGAGGACGGTACTAACGTAGGAGAGCGCTAGAGCTCTCGCTGCCGTACGTGAAGCGGCTAGAGAAAAGAGACACGCACATCCCCGCAGCGCCCAGTCAATCGAGGTGGACGTCGTTGTATACGACGATACCGCGGATGACGCCCGGGCGCGTTCGTAGAGACGTACCAGTGTGTGCGTGGTGGTGTGTGTGATGTGTGCGTGGTGTATGTGTATGTGTGTGATGTGTGCGTGAGTGGGGTTGGTGGTGATGTTGTGTATTGTGTGCACGGTGTTATGCATGGTGTGTGTGTGTGTGATGTGTGCACGGTGTAATGTGGTGTGTGTGTGAATGTGTGCGTGGTGTATGTGTGGTGTGTGTCGTGATGTGTGGCGTGGTGTGTGTGTGATATGTGTGCACGTGTATCAATGGTGTGTTGTTGTGATGTGGCACGGTGTACTGCGTGGTGATGTGTGTGGTGTATGCATGGTGTTGTGATTGTGCACCGAGGTGTAATGTGTGGTGTGTGATGTGTGATGTGTGCATCGGTGTATGCGTGGTGTGTGTGTGATGTGTCAACGGGTGTATGCATGTGTGAGTGTGTGAAAATGTGTGCAACGGTGTATGCGTGTGTGTGTGTGGTGATGTTGCATGGTGTGTGTGTGATGTTGGCACGGTGTATGCGTGGTGTGTGTGTGATGTGTGGGCACGGTGTAAATGCGGGTGTGTGTGTGATGTGTGCAACGGTGTAGCGTGTGTGTGTGTAATGTGTGCAC